TGAGCGTTCAATGGCGCGTTTCAACTGTATTGGCTCTTGCAGGTTGTTTGGATCTACGTCAGTATTTGCATCGGCGGTGCACGGAGAGACGGCGAGCAGCCGTGTTGGCCGAGGAAAATGAGCGGTGAGCAAGAAAGTGGGCTATGTGATTGTGATCTTGGGCTAGAATGGACTGGAATGAAATTTATGGGAGAGAGATTTCTCTTTGTACATAGAATTATGAATTGGGGGAGGAAATACTCAACTAAGAGGACTTACAATATGTATCCAGAAAAACACTTACAATTTAGAACTGAGGGAGTATAACTATTGACCTAAAGGCTAAAACAAATCATAATTACTTTTTTTTTGTTCATTCTCTCTTTTTATTCGTTTTCATTCGCCATATCTTCCTAGAGCAATTCTTTTTTTTTTTGGTGAACATTCCTAGAGCAGTTCTAATTCAACCCAGAAGCTGAAACTAGGAAATATCTTCCTCTAGCCTCAGTCATGAGTTGCGCTTTTTGTAAAGTTTTTTTTTGAGCTCCCTCTAAGGAATCAAGATTAAGATATTCTTAAACTTTTTTAGAACTAAATTCATTTGCGACATCCCTTCCTACACAAAACTCTGTACTTTAACATCTCTTCCCACACAAATGACAAAAACTCATTTGTGACAGCTGAGGCATTTTGACATGTTTGCTTTTAGAGAGGCATGGTCCTCATCAGTGCTTGTGGGTTCAACATCAATCGTCAGGCACCTAATCACATTTATCTCTTCATGAATCATGACACATCAGCTTGTTCGTTTGGTACGTTGTGGTTTGTCGTGAACGATCGTAAATTTCAAATGAACAATATTTTCTCTCACACAAACCAACCAAATAAAGATTTCTTCACGAACCAAGAATTTAAACGAAGCCAGTACCAACCTAACAGCAGTGACGATACTGTGAGATGCGGGAAAATGAAGTCCATCGTGTTCATCCATGCAAGCTCTTGAGCAACATGTTTGAATGGGCAACTCAATGTATAGGACTAACCCAAGTCCTATACAATGGTGTGATGTCACTTGTTAAAATGGTCGCAATGTATAGAACCAGGGATTAAATCTATAGGTGGGACCGAAAAGAGAGGAGAAGTGAAAAGACAAAAGAGAAATTATTAGTTATCTTATAGAACCGGGTTCTATGCAAAGGAGCAGGTTCACCACATATGGGCCTTGACATTTAGAAATGGCATAGCAACCATGCAACGAACTGGACAGGAGAGTCCCTACGCTGTCGTTTCCTTGCAGTGGTCGACCTCGGCAATCAGGAAAGCAGAAGCCTAATGCAAGTGTTTAAATGACAGGAAGGTACATGGATACTAAAAGGAAAAATAGTATTCCTTAATTGGTGTGATTGATAATTCAAAAAGGTTAATAAGTTATCAATTGGAGCATCATACATACTCTCCTACCGAACAGACATTTTATTATCAGTATTTAGAGATAATTTCCAACACAACAAATAAACAAAAAGATGTTACATGGAGAAGTTCTGAAGTGATAGTTTTACCAGTCCAATGAGTTATGCTTTCATAAAGGATTTGTACTGAGCCGTAGGGTATACCAGCAAGTAGGGTATACCAGCAAGGCAGCAATACAGATGGACCTGCTATCCAAAGCCTTCAAACTTATCATATCATTAGAACGAACATGCTAGTGAACAGGATATAATTAATAGCTATGTCCGCTCTGTTTCAGTTAAGCAAAGTACAGATTCCATCTGCCCCGACTTAAAAGTAGATGGCAACATATTGGCACCATCTAAAATTGTGTAAGTTGAGAAGGAAGGCTACATGAGTACAGTGTACAGTAGGTTGTGATTAGGCTGAGGAAGATGCTGATATCCCCCTAAATCAGATGCAATAGCCTCACAGTCACAGCTCAAGGAATTTAATCTATAACTCAGCAATTGATCATGAAAATGAATAGAAGAAAATACAATGGGACTTAAATAAGCACATGTTTATCTTTACCAGGGTTCACAGGTTACCGAGTTGTAACTAAGATTATGTTGAAGAGGCTAGGTAATCGTACATGTCTTTCGGCCACAAAATTTCCTACCAGTTCTCAGATACTTTTAATTGAAATTACCCTACTCAAGTTGACATACTTGAAACTTAGCAAATCTCACCTAAATGCACAGACACACAGTTCCATCCTGACAAAAGGCCAAGAGCACAACAAAACTCACCAGAATGTTCAATTTAAATTTGTTGCAATGCATAGCCAGCCAGAATACTTACAACCTGCAAAGGAGACACAACAGTCTTGAATGAGCAGAAATTGCAAAAGAAATGTCAGAGTAAAAAAAATAGCAAAGCAAGGTTAGAAGGCAATCACAGCAGGTTAGCTAGACTCAGGGAAAGGGTTAGCCCATCTCATCCAGTTTCTGCACCTGTACTCAAGCACAAACAAAGGGTGACTACCATTCACCGTCACCGATACATACACGTGTTATATATGCAATGGAATGATAGAAGGTGTTCACTGTACTAACTTGTGGTTCAAGTACACATCGAACCCAGCATATAAAATGATTATGTCAAATAACCTGGATGAAAAAAGACGCCACTAAACTGAATGCAAACCTGGAACTATATGTACATTTAGTAATACTAAAAAGAGCTCAACATCATTGTGATTGAAAAACTGAACATAATCTGATAAATCATTTTTATGATTTATTGATTACCTAAGGAAAGAGAAAAATAAAGTGGCAACTTTATATGGTCAAACACTAATGATCAGTGAAGTTCTGAAATATGATACTGGCATGCAACTTTCTGACTGAGTTATGAGATCAAAAAAGAAATCCCACCTGAACTACTTGTATATGAACATTAGCATGTCAATGGTATATGTACAGTTTATCCAATTTAAAATTAAAAAAATGGACAGTGCTACTATAAGTGTCATGGAGATATTGATGAAGATGTTAGCCATAGAATCGAAGTAGGGTGGATGAAGTGGCGCCAAGCATCTGGTGTCCTATGTGACAAAAGGGTACCACAGAAGTTCAAAGGCAAGTTTTATAGGATGGCGATTAGACCTGCTATGTTGTATGGTGCAGAATGTTGGCCTACGAAAAGACGACATGTTCAACAGATAAGTGTCACGGAAATGCGTATGTTGCATTGGATTTGCGATCATACAAGAAGGGATCGAGTTCAGAACGATGATATACGTGATAGATTAGGGGTATTACCAATTGAAGAAAAGCTTGTCCAACACCGATTGAGATGGTTTGGATATGTTCAACGGAGACCTCCAGAGGCACCGGTGCGTAGTGGAATCCTAAACTAGGATAGTAACGTGAAGAGAGACAGAGGAAGACCGAAGTTGACTTGGGTAGAGGCAATAAAAAGAGATTTGAAATGATGAAATATACCCAAAGACTTAGCCTTAGATAGGAGTGCTTGGAAAACAGCTATTCACGTGCCTGAACATTGATTGCTTCTGCCGGGTTTCAACTCTAGCCTACCCCAACTTGTTTAGGACTTAAATGCTTTGCTGTTGTTGTGGTGGACAATGCTACTATAGTATACTAAAACCAGATAAGTTTGACCACAATTTAACATGAACCAGTGTTAAATCAAAACCTAAGCAAAATGTTTAGTATTTCTTCATGATCAATGTTTTGGCAATATGCATACTTTGTACTTGCAATGGGAAATTAGTATCATGACATGGCAAAGCACTTAACAATCACCTGTATAAATAAATTATAAATTGTGTCGATCAGCAAGCACTGAAACAGTAAGCAATCTTCTGTGCACCAATAACAAACCAACCATTAGCCTCTTCCCAAAACTGATTAACCATATGTTTGATGTGGGACATAGTGGGATGGCATGGTTTTGTCCCTGATCTTTAAGATGGGATGATCCAGTTTGGTGTTTGGTTTAGGGAGACGGGACCATCCTTGTTCCGTGTTTGGTTCAGGGACATCAATAGGTGGGACAATGCATCTGTCATCTGAGGTCCACATGTCAGCCTCCCCTTTTTTTCCTCTTCCTTGCACCAAGAGCTCGTTCAAGCCACACGCCGCTTACTCTCACCCACCGAAGCTCGCCTTAGGACCCTTGCTGATGCGCACCCTCCTCTTCCTTCCCACTCACAGACGCACGCCCTCCTCTCCCTTCCTCCTCAGCGGCGCCCCTCACTAGCGCTGCTCCCCACATGCACAGCAGCTCAGTCAGAGCTCACCAACCCACTCGCGGTTCAAGCAGATGGAGCTCGCCCGCTTGTGGCTCGGCTTGCACCTCGTTCCCTTGACACTGGGCCACTCACCGGGACAGGAGGTCGTCTCACGCTTGTGTGTGGTAGTGCCAAAGCCGGAGCTCGTATTGCCTACGCGCGTCGGTGCCGAACCCAAAGCTCGTCTGAACACCTGCGCTTGGAGCAAGCACTCTTGCTCCTCCTCCTCACCTGCACCCACGCACGGGAAGAAGGGGAATGAGTCAGTCCGCTTGAATCGGAGGGACAGGCTCACCCCACATCTTAGGAATATTACTCTAGGAGGGTGAGAGGATGACCCCGTCCCCTCCAAGTCCCAACAACAGCCCCACTTCGAGGATCGTCCTGTCCCCAACCATCCCCTGATCCAAACACATGGTAAATGGCTAGAGACTCCGGGGAATGAAACGATAGCATACAAGTTACAGAAAAAAAAATATTCAACTTGTCAAACAACAGAGTGATGTAACCTGATATGATATTGATGATGGTCAAAGAATCCTGAGGATTGTTACTATAACATGATATGAGAAAACATATGCCATTCTCAAAGCTGGTAGATAGCGCACAAAAAGTTCTCATGGACAAAATGAGCAGAGAAAAAAAGAATGTACGTTCAACCTCTCCAATATAACAATCTGTATGCTCGTAGACAGCTCATATGAGTTCGAAGACTCAGCACTGTTACTTTTCTCCTCAATGGCCAAAATTAGATATAAAGAACAAATAAGAGTAGTCAAGATATCCTCACAACCATCTTGTTCTTCTTTCCAGCAGACAACAAGAGCACCTTCCCATCAACTATATCACCTTCGTCAACCAGCTTATCCTCACTATCAATCCTAACGTTATTCAAGTACAGACCACCTTGCTTAATAAGCCTCTTAACCGCTGACTTACTAGTGAGCAAACCTGTGGAAACAGCCAAATCAACAAGTGGAGACTTGAACACTTGATCATAAGCTAAAGAGCATGAAGGCACATCATCTGCTATCCCCTCAATTGTTTGTGCATCCAATTGTGTCTGAGCGCCAGGTCTCAAGGCCTCAGTTGCCTTCAATGCCTCCTCCAATCCTTCCTCGCCATGAACAAATCGTGTCACCTCTTCTGCAAGCCTCTTCTGAACAGTGTTTGGCACATAGCCAGGCTTCTTCATCGAGTCTTCTAGCTCCTGAATCTCATCCAAGCTCAGGAACGTCAGGATCTTCATAAACCTGATGACATCGATGTCTGGCACCGCAAAGAAGTACTGATAGAACTTGTAAGGAGAAAGCATCTTCGAAGAGAGCCAGATTGCCCCATCCTCTGTCTTCCCAAACTTGGTCCCATCGCTCTTCAGCAGGAGCGGGAATGTGAGTCCATGCGCCCCCTCAACCTGCAAGATTTTCCTGATCAACTCAGTTCCCGCTGTGATGTTCCCCACTGATCGCTGCCCCCAATCTGCACATTGACACCCATATTCTTGAACATATAAAGGAAGTCGTAGCCCTGCAGCAGCTGGTAGGTGAACTCGGTGTAGCTCATGCCGTCTTCTGACGCGAGACGCTTCTTGACGCTCTCCTTGGCGATCATTGTACCCACGCGTGCAAAACGGCCCACCTCTCTCAGGAAATCCAGCAGCGTGATGTCCTTCCACCAGTCGTAGTTGTCCAGGATCACGAAAGAACCCATTCTCTGTGACGAATCCACTGAATTGGGCGAAGGCTGCTCTTTTTGACCGCTGTGGGAATGGTGGGCAGGCTCGGGAACGCGGCCGAGGATCTGGGCCACGAGGGACTTAATGGCGTCGGAGTTGGCTTCGACGGCAGCGATGTCGAGCTCGGGGCGCTCGGAACTCTTCCCCGAGGGGTCGCCGACGCGGCCCGTGGCGCCACCGATGAGCGCGACGGCGGTGTGGCCGCATCGGCGGAACCAGGACAGCGCGACCAGGCCGAGGAGGTTGCCGAGATGCAGGCTCTCGGCGGTAGGGTCGAAGCCGCAGTAAACCTTGAGCTCTCCGGGCCGCGCCGCGGCGAGCGCCTCCGAGGTGGTGGCCTCGACGAGCCCTCGCTTCATGAGCACGTCCACGACGCCGGCCGACGCGGCGGTGGAGGCGGGAGCGGAGACACTGGCATTGGTGGAGAGGCGGCGGCGAAGCGGATGGGTGCGGGAGAGGAGGAGGCAACGGTGCGGGCGCAGGAAGGCCCGCGAGGAGGCGGCCGCGGCCATGGCGGCGGCGGCCATCGTGGGGAAGGAGGACGAGGAAGGATTCTCGGCCTTGCGCTGGTGATAGGGCCCAATGATAGGGCTGCGCATAATAATTAACAATTTAACATAATAATTAACTCGAATTCTTTCAGTTCCTACTCTCGATTAACCCAAAACCAAATTACTGTACTCACTTATTTAAATTTTGTATAAGACTATATATTTGATTTATGTGCATGTGTTGAATTGCTGTGTATTTATTATGTTCTTATATTGCTATATATTGCTTTCTTATCGGTTACTATTATTAAAAAAAGAGGAATTGTTGCCCAAATTTATCTGACAAACATCTTTGTTTTGTTGTCTTAGCCTCTGCTAAATGTTCCGTTGGTTCAGTTAGGACCAAAACTAAATCAAATTAACTAAAAAACCAAAATGCTCGATTTTTCAGAATTGGTCACTTTCCATTTTCTAGTAAGGTCTCTATTGGAATGGAGAAAAATTATAGGAATTTTGAAGGATATAAATCCTATAGAAAAAATTCCTATGAGACCATTTGGAACAAAGGAATGTTTACCAACAATTCCTTTGAAATTTCTATGGATTAGACCATTGTAAGGAGCTTTTTGAGGAAACTAAACACGTGCTCCAACCTCATTGTTCATTGTTCTAGGTTTGGTATGACTTTGCTTCAAGGGCGGAGCTAGAGCAAATATGAGGGGGGTGCGCTTACCTTGTGGGTACATAGAATTTTACCATATGAGTACGAATATGGTGAAAATTTGATCGTGATCACTGTTTTTTGATATTTTTGTGGGTGCGCCCGCACCCTGTCTAGTCTACATAGATCTGCCCGTGCTCTGCTTCACTAATGCTGTAGTTTCTATGGCTCTTGTGTAATAACAAGTTGTTAACGAGAGGCAACTTGGCTAAGAGAGAAAAAATCGAATAGTAAAGAATACATGTTTTGCGAGGAAGCTAAATCTGTGCATCATCTGTTTGTTCAATGTTGTGTACCAACTGAGATTTTGTGTTTAATGTATGATATAGATTGGTAGTGACTTTGAATCAGTTGCCAGATGGTGGATTTCTAATAATAAAAATGCAGTGATCAACACTTGCAATTTTACCAGTTTATATGGAGCTTATTATGGGAAACACGAAATTCTGTTTGTTTTCAGGGAGAGTGTTGGGGTGATGTGAAGGTGGTGATGCGAACTGCAGCGAATATGTTGGGAGGATGGCGAGCAGTGGCGGATTCAGGGGGAGGGGGCTGGGGGGCTCTAACCCCTAATGTCTTGATTTAAGCCTCAATCATGAAAGAAGAAAAGATTCGATTTCACCATTAAATCTTCATGCAAATCAACATCTCCATTGTTTTAGCCCATCCTTATCCCGCATCGTGCATCCGCCACTGATGGCGAGTGTTATATAGTAGACAGAAAAATGTCCCAAGATGAAAGAATTGTTGAGAAGGCTAGGAGATACCGAAGACACCAACCAGAATTGGCTTGGGTACCAGCTACAGTGACACAAGGCGAGAGCATACGAGCTGGCTAGACTCGGCAACAACAGGGCGAGCTGTTCCAACCGTGCGACAATGGCACGGAGCAGGCGGAGAACGACGCTTTGCCGCATCCTCTCCCCAAGAAAACTAGCGGTCAGTGTGAGCTCTGAGCTGCAGCGCCAGAAGGCTCACCCCGGAGTCCTGGACTCGGAGTGGACGACCGCACACCACAGCCCAGAAATCCTGTGCCATCCCGTTCACGAACACGATTGGGAGGCCGGGGAGGTAGGGCAAGCGAGCCACCCAGCCACGAGGGCGCTCTGCTACCGAAACGACGTGCAACCAGCGCGGCCTCTACAGGGATCGAGCTGTGGATATCCATCCATCAACATGACGACATTGCTTTCACAGCACGTGAGGTCCGGAAGCTCCGGCGCGGCTCTCCCTGCTCCCTGTCTGTCTGTAACAAGAATACTACCGGCTACCGCTACCAGCACCACGCCGCAACAATGTCGGTCGCGCCAGGAGCCGGTGGAACGAGTGGGGCGCGAAGAAAACTGAAGCGAAGCCAGCCACGGGCACGCACAAGTCACAAGTCGTAACAGGAGAGGGGCGGGCCCGGAAAAATGGCCACAAATCGATCGAGCAGGAGGGCGGCCATCGACAGCCATTCGTCGGGCGTGCTATCCGAAATCTGATCCCTCCCCGAATGCGCGGACCTCACGATCTCCGTTCGCGGCCCCGCGCACCACAAACGCGCGCACCCCCCAATCCGCCAACTCATTCGTATATACGCGCCCGCTTGTTGGCTAGCATAGTCATCTTGTCTGGATCCTCTGCTGGTCCGCGTGGCCATGGCGTCGTCGTCCATGCTCTCCGCCACCACCGTGCCACTCCAGGTATGCCTCATGCGACGTATAGGATGCTTCTAGCTCCACCGGACAAGCGAGTGATGGTTTTGTGATGTGTCCAGGGGGCCGCCGGCCTGTCCGAGTTCTCCGGGCTCAGGAGCTCCGCGTCGCTGCCGATGCGCCGGAATGCCACCTCCGACGACTTCATGTCCGCCGTCTCCTTCAGGACCCACGCGGTACGTGCCTAGCAGCTCCGATCCGATCGATCCGTATGCAATCGTGCCGCATCGTGTAGGAATGTGTTAGTGGCTTTGTAGTAGCACGTACGGCTTGCTTGCTTGTGCATCATCACATCACATCAACCAGGTCGGCACGAGCGGCGGCGGGCCGAGGCGGGCGCCGACGGAGGCGAAGCTGAAGGTGGCGATCAACGGGTTCGGCCGGATCGGGCGCAACTTCCTGCGGTGCTGGCACGGGCGCGGGGACGCGTCGCCGCTCGACGTCATAGCCATCAACGACACGGGAGGCGTCAAGCAGGCGTCGCACCTGCTCAAGTACGACTCCACGCTGGGAATCTTCGACGCCGACGTCAAGCCCGTCGGCGACAACGCCATCTCCGTCGACGGCAAGGTCATCAAGGTGGTGTCGGACCGCAACCCCAGCAACCTGCCGTGGGGGGAGCTCGGCGTCGACCTCGTCATCGAGGGCACGGGCGTCTTCGTCGACCGCGAGGGCGCTGGGAAGCACATCCAGGCGGGGGCCAAGAAGGTGCTCATCACGGCGCCGGGGAAGGGAGACATCCCCACCTACGTCGTCGGCGTCAATGCCGACCAGTACAACCCCGACGAGCCCATCATCAGCAACGCCTCCTGCACCACCAACTGCCTCGCGCCATTCGTCAAGGTGCTCGACCAAAAGTTCGGTGCGTATCTTCACTTCTTCAGTACTCAAATTTGATGCATGCTTCTTAAGTTCTTAGTATTGCAAATCGAAGCAAACTATATATATAACGGCGCATGCACTCATGCATGAATAATGCATCGCACAGGCATCATCAAGGGCACCATGACCACCACCCACTCCTACACCGGCGACCAGAGGCTACTGGACGCGAGCCACCGCGACCTGCGCCGCGCCCGCGCCGCCGCGCTCAACATCGTGCCCACGTCCACGGGCGCCGCCAAGGCCGTCTCGCTGGTGCTCCCCAACCTCAAGGGCAAGCTCAACGGGATCGCGCTCCGGGTGCCCACCCCGAACGTCTCCGTCGTCGACCTCGTTGTGCAGGTCTCCAAGAAGACCCTCGCCGAGGAGGTGAACCAGGCGTTCCGCGACGCCGCCGCCAACGAGCTCAGCGGCATCCTCGAGGTCTGCGACGTGCCGCTCGTGTCCGTCGACTTCAGGTGCTCCGACGTCTCCTCCACCATCGACGCATCCCTCACCATGGTCATGGGAGACGACATGGTCAAGGTCATCTCCTGGTACGACAACGAGTGGGGGTACTCGCAGAGGGTCGTCGACCTCGCTACCATTTGCGCCATCAAGTGGAAGTGAGGCGTTGCTCCCCATTGTAATCATGTGTAGCTCACCCTCGACTTCAAAATTTTCCCCAGGCTCTTCCCCCTGTCCGCTTGTTGATTTCAGCTAGGGCTTATCAGCCATGGTACAGTGTTTTTCTCTCACAACAAACTAGCATCAGCCGGGCTTATCAGCCCAGAAACCAACCAGCGTGATAATTTGTAATAATGAAAAATCGAGGCCTCAAACTCCAAACGGTTTCCTTTTTTTTGTTTCTTTCTTTTTCTCCCTTATCTGATTATTCATTGTCGAGGGACAGATTATAATGGACTTCCGGCAAAAGGACATGGCAACGTTGTATAATGTGAATTTGTAATATATACTATTGGTCGCAGGTTCTCAACATAGCACCTCTTTATTCAGAGATGCATGACAGAATTACCAAAATTGGATCCGACCTATTTTTCCAGGGTAATTCAGGATACAAAACGTTCAATTGTTCTCCATTAAGGTAAGTTAGGTAACATGTCCACGAGATATATATAATCAGAAATCCTGAATTGCACCTCAACCAAGTCTTGACCCCCAACTTCTTTCAAGGTGCCGAGTGCTGACATTGTTACGGTTGCAGAACTTCAATTGGAATGCCATGACCGTTCAATTCAAACGTTACAGTTCTAGTATGAGACTCCCTATGAATCTAAATATAAGTCGCTTCAAAATATCGAAACGCTCACACTGACTTAATTATCTGAATAGAAAAGGTTATACAGTATATGAAATTACTTTCCATGATGAATTTAGTAACATCAATTATACCTTATCAATATTTGTTCATATTGGTGGACCAAGTTAAAACAAGTTTGACCAGCTAGAATCAGAGGAAGTATATCATCTTCATCCATCTATTATAGTTACTATTTTGCGTCGCTGAGTCCAATTGCAATCTGGGATGGTCCACACCCTGAGTCACTCCCAACTTTTGTTACATCATATCTTCCTTAGAGTCCATAGTTCACATGCTCGTCATCCAGGATCCTTGGTGCTAGTAAGCCAGTTGCAGTGAGTGATGAAGAATATATGGTATCACGTAGGACAAATATTGTCATGCCATACAATGAAATGTAAGGCTGGTATCTTTCCCATATAAAAAATTTCAAAAAACTGAAAGCATGGTTGCATTTGGAATTTTGATAGCTTAAACTCTGATTCCTAAATTTAAATGGCCTGTGTTTAACAGGAAAGAACAGACTTGGCTTTACTGAAGAAGCCACCGGACCGTGCTGTGTACAGTCCACTACAATCACCATGACAAACCCAACTAATGTCCAGAGCTAGATAGTATAATTTCTGACCTAACGAATTGTAGATCTAGAAAACAGGTAACAGTATTTTGTATGTCAATCAGATGCTCTTCATCGGATTTTGGAGATACTATCCACTCTGGTTCAAGGGCCACCATTGAAAAGGTTCCAATCATGCACACTGAAATTCATCACTGCAAGTTTGAAGATCTCAGACATTGGCAAGCATCCTGCTTGTTCAGCAGGTATTGCCGGACCAGCTGCAACTGCCACAGTACTTTCACTCAGGGGGCTGAAATGAATCAGACAGCATAAATCAATTACAGCTGGTTGTAACATTGGAAAACAACAACCTCTTAATTTACTAAACATATCAAGGCCTTGGTAATTGTAGGATGATGTTTTTTTTTAATTTTTATGGAGGAAAACACTGCTTTTGTAGAAAGCACCCAATCTTTACATTGTAGGATGATGTCTAGAACTTGGATATGTTGGACGTACTCAGGTTTTGGACCTCTACCAATCATGTTTCTTGCAATACTTAAAATTATACTTAGTGAATTCATATTTTGGTTCGTCCACAATCCTAGTACACTAGAATTTGGCATGCCAAGGTATGCCAAGGTACAAAGTTGAAAGAACTTCATGTATCTGAACATAAGGGTATTCCATACTGCAAAGCTGATAGTGACTTGCAACAAAATGGCATGTTTAACAAGAACAACATTTAGTCATTTGCTATTACTAAATGGATGCCTCGTTTGACATCATTAATCCTCATTTTAACATCTTAAGATGCATCAAAACGTTAAACGCATGCAAGAATCCCAGCGGCTCATATGAAATGTTGCATACGTTTAATAATGTTGAAAGTATGAAATGTTGAAAATATTTTGTTCTAGAATAAAGTACAATTAATAATGGAAAGTGCTGTGATAGTGATCGAGAGGGCTTACTTTATGAACAGCGGCTCATATGCGATGATAAGTACATCGGTTGCTGCATTCTTGAGGCGTATGTTTGCCAGGTAAATCTGTAAAGGGAAACAAGGAATTCAGTTCGAAGAGTGACTAAATTTACCACTTAACTTTACTCATCAAGGGTGGGTGTACTCACTCGAACACTGTTCTGTGCTTCTCTGCCCTGCCTCCCTTTTGAGATGGACTATGTAAACAAAGAAAAGGTAGCATGAGATCCTACAAGCATTTTTTTTACACCTCTTACTTATTCAGTGCTAATTCTAGATCATTTCAAATGCATATCGATAAATTGAATTAGAACTGCTAACATAATCATTCATACACAGTTGAAATATATATCTCACAGCGTTTCCTGGATGATCACTTCTCCCAAATGAAGACTAAAGATTGTTTCTTTCTCCCACTTATACATGAGATGGGAATGATGTAGTTATACATGTCCTGATCATATCTAATTTCTGAAGATGCAGGTACCATATATGAATATTTGAGCAAACTAACTGATGTAGATTCATAGTTATCATTGTCAAGGATGTCAATTTTTTTTAAGAGAATAGGATGTCAAAATGCTACTAAAAACTAGTTTATTCTATGCATCACAACAACATAACATTACATTTTTACAAGATCAGAAACTTTCCACAATCCTATCCAAAGCAGCACTGAAAAACACCAATCAGTGGGAGATAAATTGACCATCAGGGTGGCACAACATATTTGAACAGTGAATGAGCTTACCATCTGGCCAACTGCTGTTGTAGCCACTACAGGGGCTTCTCCGAGCCGCAAAGCAGCTAGCTCAAGTGTCCCGGAATGCTCGACCACCTAGCAAACAAACCAGCAAAATTTTACCAACAGGCCTCTTTTGTTCGTCAATGTAGTACAATCAGGTAACATTGCCATCCAAGGCACAGTACGCACACACATATAGTTTTGGAACAGATTGTTAATCCACCAAATGAGTTAGTATTGGCTGTCTTGCATGGACAGTTACATTGCAACTAGAGTAGCAGACAGCCTCCAGCAGGCAGTAGCTGATCAGTCATTAAACAGTATACAGGCAAGTCAAGGGAGTATTGAGTATTGTTGCCAACCAAGTTGTCCCCGGCATCTTGCTCGTTGGCGATGTCTCGCAGGAACCAGAGCGCGCTGCCGGCGTCGTCCACCTCGCCCTTGAGGTCAAGTAGCTCGAAGACGAGGCTCTCGTCGCGGGATGGATCAAAGAGAACCTCCTGCGCAGCACAGCCCATCAGAGTAAATTCAAACAAATTATCTAAACAACACGCAAACACATCCATGTAGATAAGAACTTGGAAGCGAGTCTTATGAACCTGATGGTCGGGGACCTCCCGGATGTTGCTCACGTCCTGCACAAATCAGAACACGAGGGTCAGTGGAGGATCCAGCCCAAAAATTGAGGTAGGGCGGGCGAATTTAGATCAAAAAAATTTAAGCTAAAACTGACAACATCATCATGAACAACAATTGTAGAACGGTAAAGGTATACTAGTACTAAAGAAACTTTTCAGATCTGCATAATCGTTGAATTGATTAATAAGTAACCGATATCTATCTATTTAATCGATTGACAACTCATCAAAGCGAAAATTTGCAAGGACATAATACATTATATCTATCTATTTAATCGATTGACGACTCATCAAAGCCAAAATTTGCAATGGCGCAGCAGTCAGCAAAGGCACTGAATCAGAAATCATCACAGCAGTCAGCAAAGGCATTGATGCAGAGGCGCCGAGCGCAGCAACTAGCAAGCACTGAGGCAGCAGCGCACAGGGGCATCCAGGCAGGGCGGCAGGCCGCCGCGCGCAGCCACAGACCACGGCTGCCGCTGCCGGCCTGCCGGGCGCCGGGCGAAACCGGGCAGCCGCCAGCCAGGCAGAGCCATCGGCCGTAGCGATGGCTGCCGCTGCTGGCTTGACGCGCGGGCCGCTGCCCCGGGACTCTGAGAAGCAGAAGCAAGAGGCCGGGAGGGGGGAGCTGCCGCCGCCGCCGCCCGCGCGGTGTCTGTGCGCCATCAGGCTTTAGGAGTGCCGAGCATGCGAGCAGACCGTCCAAACGAAGCGTAAGCACACACGCACGACGAAAAAAAGGAAGCTAGACCTCGAAGGGCAAGGAGGTTGCGGGGGCAGGCGGAGGGAGCCTCGTACCTGGAAGCGGGCGGGGAAGGTGGTGGAGATGGCGCCGCCGAACAGGGGTCGAGGGACGCAGCTCTCCGCGGCCATCTCTGCACCAGCTTTCTAACTCTCGAGAGTCGAGGAAGGGGAAACAGCTTCCAGAGCGTGGTGGAACCGTGGAAGGTGCGCGGAGAGGAGCGATTCGGGCGCGAGTTATAGGCATGCGGCGAGAGGGTTGGGGGCGGAAGCGCCGCGCGTCGATCTGACGCAGCGCCGCAGCAACGGCCCCGCGTGGAAGGCACGCACGCCGAGGTGTTCCGCCGCCGCCGCTTCCGTTTAGGCGCATTTGCTCCGGTCGCCGGTTGCGGCAGGGCGGCGGGCGGGCAAGCGAGCTGTGTGGGCCGAGTTACGTAGGCGGGCCGAGGCCCAGATTGTATACAAAAACGGGCGCGACGAGGATGGGGTGTGGGTGAAGAGGGAGTGCGCGTTCACGCGGTCATCGCTGAGTATTCTCCGGGCTCCGGCGCTGCCGCCGCTCCGATGCGTCGAGGTCTTGCCCCAAATCTGAGAGAAAAGCGAGGCCCGACCTCTGGTCTTCCCCATCCAATGGGTTACTGCGCCCAATCCGACTGCTGGAAGAAGCGGGCGCGGCGGAGATCTGCCGATCCGACGGGATCCTGTACCGACGACACTTCTCTCGCCGACGGATTATACCAAGCACAAGGAGGGATCGAATGGTGATTCCGTTTATTTTCTTCTTCGCCACGGCGGCTCAATCTGATAATCCTCTCGCAGGAGGGACTGGGCCAACCTGGAGCCCGGCATCGTCCAGGACGTCGCCGGCCAGCTGCTCGTCGTCGACGTGGCCGAGTTTCTCCGCCTCCGCGCGGAGTGCAAGCCCTGGCGCGCGTGCACCGACAACCCGCGCGTGCATAGCGGCCTCGACAGCCGCTTCCGCCCTCGCGACTGGATCGCGACGCTCCACTGCGCCCCGCCGTCGCGCTGCACCCTCGTCAACGTGGTCACCGGCGCCCGCGTGGACGCCGACTTACCGGAGCTCTGCACCCACCACCACTTGGGTTCGGCGGAGGGCCTCCTCGTCCTGTCGGACAAGGCCACCGCCGCCATCCGCCTCCTGAACCCGCTCACCGAGTACGCCGCCATCAGCGACGTGCAGGCCTTGGTTGCCCCGTTCGAGGAAAGGGTTACCTGGCCCTTACAGCTAGGTTCCCGAAAGGTCCAGGTCCCCCATCAAGGGCGCCGGCATCGAGGATTCCACCTCCCCGCCCACCCTCGTGCTCTGCCTGAGGAAGCCGCTGTCCCGCGTCGTCTGCGCCAAGCCGGGCGACCCGCACTGGGTGTCCGTGCACCGCGGCGAGCAGTTCGTTTCTCGCGTGAGCTGCCTCGGCCAGATCGTGTTCAGGTCCCTGCTGTCCTTCAGGGGGGCGCTGCTACTTGACGACGCCGCTCAGGACCTATTTTTTTACTATATAATGATCAGACAGAACTGAACCTGCGAGGCTTGGCCATCAGGTCATGAACACTACCCACGTATACTAGACATGAATTTGCAAGAATACGCAAACCAGACAACGACCAGGCCAAGCAGAACTTCCACAGTACATAATGGATTGCACATTAAGAAATCTGTCGAATACCAAACTGTCGGTGTTTTCAGACCACCGACGAGCAACTTTATATTTACACAAGGGTTTATACTGGTTCGGGCGGAACGTCCTTACATCCAGTTCGCGGCTGCTCGTGTTACCGGCACTTGGTTTGCAGTAGGGGTTATAAACAGGCGAGAGAGGGAGATGATACCAAATCTCTGGTGGAAGGAGTGGACGGATGCTGATAGCTCGATTGCCGCTCAGCCGTATGCTCGTGTCGTACTCTTGTGTTCCGATCCCCCCTTAGTGGGGCGCCATGCTTCCTCTTTTATAGGCGAAGGGAAAGCGCGGGTTACAGATGAGAAAAACGAGAAGAATGAGAGAGAGAAGGCTTCCAGGGTTGCCAGGTCCTCTTTCATGCGGGTCCCGCTGATCCTATAGATGTCAACATGGACGGCTCCATGTCGCGGCCCTGTTCGTCACTGGCGCCATGCGCAGGCGTCATCTACCGGTCATGGCGTTCAACTCCATCCCGGCGGACGTCGTGGTGAACTGACGCTCCTGTCAGCGTTCGTACGAGGGTTAGGTAGAACAGCACCGGCACGTCCGACACTGTTCTTGATGTGAATCCTCAGGTATGACCCGTCATGGCCACGGGTTACATCGAGGCGTGCCAGCCTCTTTCCTGGCGTCAGAGTTTTGACCCAGGCCCATACGCTCGGACCTTGAGTGGTTGGCTGCAGTATGGGTCCCCATCGGACGAGACGGAACCCGCGTCCTCGAGGTCAGGCGAGACGAAGCCTGCGACCTTGGGCGAGACGGAGCTCGAACCCAAGGGGTCAGGCGAGACAGAACCCGCGTCCTTAGGGTCGAGCGAGACGGAGCCCGCGTCCTTGGGGTCGGGCGAGACAGAGACTGCACCCAAGGGGTCAGGTGAGACGGAGCCCGCGGTCTTGAGGTCGGGTGAGACGGAGACCGCGTCCTTGGGGTTAGGGGAGACAGAGCCAGCAACCTTGAGGTCGGGTGAGACGGAGCCCGTGGCCTTGGGGTCGGGCGAGGCCTTTTAATACGTCTTGAGCCATCCGGGGAAGTCAGCGTAGGCGCTAATTTCCTTGCTTTGGGTATCCCTAATATCGATACCCGACACTAGCCCCCGAGCATGCGGAGGAGTAGAATACTGCTTTGGAGGCTTTTCCGGATGGGAGGACTCTGAGGGTCTTGGCCTTCCTTTTGTAGTCCGTGGCATGTCCTGGTAGGACGACGATTCCATTTTGCCACGATCGGTATTCTAGGGGCATGTAACCGTAGTATTCGGGAGGTCAGAAAGATTATTCTTGATTCTGGTCCCCTAGGATCCGATCGGTCCACCGTCGTACTACGATCACACGTTCGGTCTCCTTGCGAGTCCAACTTTCCTCGAGCCTCTGCGCATAGCAGGGGTCCGGTCGAGGGTCGACTCGTCTTTGTGACCGTCATCCCTCAAGCGTTTTTTATAAAATGGAGGGGCTAAGTCGTGCCACGTTTTTCCTCGATGGACGAAACATGGTGCTCGATGAGCTGTTAACGGGCTAGTCCGAGTGGGGCCCCGGCTTCCCATTCGTGGGGGTCCGCCATGGGTCAGCTGGTGACCGACTCCAGACTCTTGGCGGCCAATCCATATAGTTCTTAGGTCCGTTCGGCCGGTCCCAAGGGCTCGTTGCCTTTCTTCGAGGAAAAACCATGGACTGGGAACCGACCAAGGCTTGAACGTGGGCCGAGATGCCCGTGGTGCTCGTGCGCCCGGTAGTGGGCCCATCCCTTTCCACCCCTCGCTCTAAGGGTGCCCTAGAGCGGTTGTGAACCCATCGGCGGGCCAGCGTTCGAACTCCTGGTCCTGAATGGGCCATAGGAGTGTTTTCAGCTCTGTATCCCTCCTTACTTATGACAGTTCTTGGCCCATCGACCGGGCGAACCGTCATCCGGTGTGTCCTTCGAGGGCACAGCCAGAGATAGCATGCACACGATCTTCGGAGGGAGGTGACGTGACGCGACGTAGCGGGCGCGGGAACCTAGGCGGATGGTTCGCCCTCTTGCCCCGCTCCGTCCTATAAATAGCGGCTGCCCCTTCACGTTTCTGTACACCAAAACTATAGCCTTACCTTCTCCGTTTCTCCACCGCCGCCATTCGGATCTGCCATGCTTGCTAATCCACCGCCGAAGCCCTAGATCTATAGCTTCCGCTTCTCCACCACCGCCTTTGCTTCTCCACAGCCGCCTCCATCCTCCATGGATTCGTGGTACCGCTCTAATGTTACCCATGCTCACATGGAGGGCCTCGTCAAGCGTGGTCTTCTCCGTGGGAGGACCGATGCAGCGGAGTGGCTTGTGCCCGGGCGTGAGGATGTGCCGGTGCCGCCCGACGGCTACGTCGTCTCCTTTGTGCCCTTCCACGAGCACGGACTCGTGGTTCCTCCCCACCCGTTCTTCTGGGGTCTGTTGCACCACTATCAGATTGAGCTGCAGCACTTGAACCCCAACGGGATCCAGTACATCGCGGCCTTCATCGCGATATGCGAGGGGTACCTGGGGATCGAGCCCCACTTCGAGCTATGGAGATATTTCTTCTCCATCTCCTTGATCAAGAAGGAGAGAGGCCAGGAGACCCCGGTGCCAATGGGATGCATGGGCATCCACCTCCGGGGGCAGCGGGTGGCATAGTACATGCCCTGCCAGCTCTCCAAATCCAACAAGGGGTGGCACTCGCATTGGTTCTACCTGAAGAACGACCCTGCCACTGCCTTGCCAGTCTTCTTCGGGCGTCTAATAGAAGAGGTACCATCGTCATGGCCATGGGGGTCACCCGTCAAGGAGAAGAAGAGGATGCGAGACCTCCTCGAGGCCATCACGTTCCTGAAGACCCACGGCCTTCGTGGGGCCGGCATAATCGGGGGGTGTTTACACCAAAATTTGGAAGAGGATGTTGCAAAGACTCGAAAGCTCCCAAGATCATATCACCAAGGAATCAATTACGTGCAGATCGAAACCAGCTGATTCGGATACAGAAATTGGAATCAGCTTTCCTCAGATAGCGCCAGTGGATAACAACAAAGGCTACGTTCGGCGCCAAGACGAAACATGCTGGACTCTACGAAAAGGGAAAGATTAGAGTCCAAGTTATCTTAAATTAGGAATGTTTTCTCTAGGATCAAAAATTGTAATGAGTCGTGCTTAGACAGGAGTCATGCACAGGGCCCGGGTATAAATACCAAACCTCGGCTATTGTAAGAGGACATCAATCAATCCAAATACAAGTCAATTACTTTTTTGGCTTCGGCCACCCCTTAGGAGTAGGAGTAGAGTAGATCTCGGCGAGTTCTTCAGCGAGTACGGCTGCATCGATCCGGTCGACCTCCACTGCTTGTCTATAAGTACCGTTATGGTTTATACCTCTGTTCATATGGCTGTATCGATCCAGTCGACCCCCACTGCAGCTCTAGTATAAGCTAGTTATCGACTCTTGTTTAATTCAAGTATGGCCTGTGTGATTCTGCCTCACACCCCACATCTTGAATTAGATCAAGGTCAAGTTATCGGCTCTACCTTAGAATGACAGTCTTTGGTAGATTCATTAAGTTACTGATATTGCTTATTACTTTTATTATTTATCTAATTACAGCAATATCACTCTGCCCGATTGAGATTGATTTAGATCGGCCTTATATCTTATTTGACCCATCGGTTGCTAACCTAAAACTGATCTAATCTACACCTTAAACAATGAGTTGTGTTTTATCGGCTGTTTTACATCAATCTTAATCGTGCATAACGTGCGGTTAAGGCATGTTGCATCTCGAGTAGATCTATTGGCTAGCGAGAACCGTTCCACGGCCCATTATCATGGCCTGTGTGATTCTGCCTCACACCCCACTGTTAGCACCGTGGAGTGGGGATCATTATTTAGTAGATCTATTCTTGGTAAGGCATGACTTTAACTGTGCGTTATGTCTGAATCGACTGTTTTAGCTGATATCGAGCGCTTTCACGAACAGTTCGCATCACGAGACCATTGAAGTAAAGATAGGTTGAAAGATATGTTAGCCCCATGATCTTATTATTGTATTACGGCCTGCATGATTCTGCCTCATGCCCCACTGATATTAGTAATGAGTTAGGATCGTCGAGTCTATTATTATTTCTATGGCCTGCATGATTCTGCCTCATGCCCCACTGGTCATGGTGATAGATGAGATTTAACATGTTCATTGGCTTTATCTTTATTAAACGGTTAAGTGGTGTTGAATTGTTTCTTTACATAAAAAAGGGGTTCGGTTACTTGTAATCATTGGCTTGACATAAACCAATCATTGTTGATATCTTATTACCATTGATTCATATTTGCTCAAAGAATGATATTTATCCTGAATGATAACCGATTCTTCTTACACAACCCCATGAACTTTAACCGATTTATTCTCATGAATATGCTGGAATCGACTATTTAGTCGATCTCCTTTCATATCGGCTGACATAGCCGCACATTCGGGACTGTCTGGCAACACCGGCAAGTTCCGCCCTTAATTACTGATGAACTTTCTCTCCTTGTCAATTGCAGGGTTAAATTGACTGGCACGTCTCGGGAGGATTGCGCAGGATCGACCATCCCTGCGCTAAAGCTTGGTAGATCTGCTCCATCGAGTGGACCCTTCTGGCTTGCTATGTGTGTCCTCGGCACGGGACGAAAATTCTGTATCGACAGGGGGTATCACGCGAGGAGGGTGGCACCGCTGATGGTGCACGTCCTCCAGATGTACAGGATGATGTACGACACGTAGTTCGTCAGGATGACGCTCGCCCAGGGGCTGCTCCATGA